CATTCTGAATATCTTAAGAAAAGAGCGGTCAATTATTTTGAAAAAATTTGGGATTTGTTTTCATAATTTTTTGTGTTTCTTCAGGTACGCTATTGAGAAAGCACACTTAAATAAAGTTTCGGGTGCATTTGCACAAGAGAGCACCGCGAGCGAATACTTATCGCACGACCGGGTTGAGTCGCGAGTGAGTGACGTCACTCACTTACACAGTGCCAGAGAGCAGCCGTTAGTTGGTCGTTGCTGGCTGCGCTGTGTTGGTTGTATAGTAAGCAAGCACAGCAAGTTCATACGCCCTCCATTCATTCACTCATTCAGCGCCTCCTGCGGCTCGGAACCACCGTATATGTGTGAAGTTGATGCTTCTTTCTGACTTAAGTTTGGCGACGCCGGCGAGTGTTGTGCATTAATTCCCACGTCGCGATCGGCGCGCGAATGGCAAAAGAAAAAGAATGCCAACAGGATGCACCGCACGCGGGCGAGGCGAACGAACCTTTTCTGCGAGCCGATGCGTATAGAGCAAGAGAGGCAACAGGTCTGACGGATTCTGCGAAAGACCACCGGCTGATTCGTGCAGAAATTTTATAATTGAGCCTAGTCATGGACTTCTGGACGCTAATTGATCCGGAGAGGAGAAAAAAAAGCAGTTTAAAATTGATGCCACCCTTTTGTGACTAATTAAATTAGATATGTTATGGTACTCTGCGGATATTAATGATGTACTGCTTAAAAACATAATTGCTGTGCACTGATTTGATTTGCTGACGACTCCTCACTTGCAATAAAAACCAAAAAAATCCATGAGAGCCTCTTGATTCAGCTCAAAACTTTTGCTTTTTCAAGTTGTCTCTCAAAATTGTCACAAATATAATGTATATAATTTTGTGTAAAAGAATATTCTTTTTTTAGTTCCTTCCATAATTGTTTAAAAGTTTTATTCATCAATCCAATTCAAGGGCGTTTGTTTCTCCTTCAGCCAACACTCACTTACTTGCCTGGCGATAAACAGGAAATTTGCACATCAAAACTTTTTGTCACAAAGTTCACGTTTCGCGCCCGAGATTCATGTGTACATTTTGCTAAAAGCTCAATTTCCTCTGTTTTCCTGAATCGCCCAATGGCAACAATGAGTAAAAAGCGTTCATTTTGCGCGACTCTGAGAGACGCGCGCGGAAGTGGCGTCTCTTTTTCAAACAAATTGCCGCGTGCCAAAAGAAAATGTTTGTAACGAGCAAAAAGCAGAAAAGCCAATTTTCACAGCCGGAGAGAGACGCACGTTCTCGACATTATTTGCATGCCGCTGACGTCAAATTTCGCTCGTCGCGCCACAATAGGTGGCAAACTTTCCTCGCTCAGGTTGGTGGTTCGTCTACTGCGGCTGCACCGGGAATCCCGCAGCGAGACGTCACACTCAATCGTGACAAAAAGAGATCGAGGGAGAAAGAAAGAAATAACATTTTTCACCGGTGCTGCGACTTTGCCATTCTTCCAGCAGGGTTCCGATTGATCAGATTGTGCGAACCTCCGCCAGTTTTCAATTGAATAATAGGAGAGAGAAAAAAAGCTCCACGTGACCTCTACGTGGAAATGGCCTCTGATCACACAAAGGTTGAATTTGCCTATTTTATCCTTCTAATATAAAAAAAAATTGTTTGTAAATAAAAAAAAGCTGAATTGTATAAATGTTTAGTTAAATTAATTTTTAGTTTAATCTGTGCTTTATTGCAATTGAGCTGCAACTGCATGAAAACCTCTATTTTAAATATACATATATATATTTTTTTTTTAATTTCATTTCCTCCCATTCAGAATTCAGAAGGAAAATGTTTATAGGAAATTAAAATTTGCAACGTTTGGAGGTAGTTAAATAATCTGTATGGAATTTCACAAGACTGTGACCGAGCTCTGGCTTTTCGTGGTGGCGAGTGAAATTTTCGCAAAGTCATCTCCGGGAGCACTCTGATCGCGCTCTTATTATTTCTCCTATTTTTGCTAAATTTAAAAAATACTCGCGCGGTCAACTCGTGACGCAGATTTTGCAACATTATGTATTTTCCTCCTCTCTGCGCATCTCTCTCACAGCGCGTCGTGTCGTTCTAGTTATTGTTTTGTAAGCGAAGTTTTCGCTAAAACGGCGAAAAACGCACACATAGTTACAGGGTATATTATTTGTTGTCTGTGCTCGGCGCGCGAGCAAAAGTGCTGATTCGAAAGTGACGCGGCGATTTTTTTATTATTCTCCTCCGCACACAGCTGCGTTGGTCTCGTCGCTTCAATTATTGTTTGCCGTTGATGCTGCTGTGAAATTTTGCGCAGCATTTTCGTCCACGTACGCGCAAACGGTTGGACGGCGAGTGCAAAAAGCAAAAGACAGTTTGCACTGCAAGCAAAAATAGCAAATGCGGACTAATAACAAACAGCGTCGATTGCAAAAACACTGTTATGCAACTCCTTTCTAGACTATAATAGAGAAAACAGTTCGATTTGTCAAAACCACATTTTCCTTCAATGTAATGCACTTCTGACTATCGGTTGGCATATCAGATGAATATTCTTTCCTCTTTCCTTAGCCTACAATTGGGTTTTAAAATTTATCAACATCTAATTGGGCACTTGAGCAAAATTCTTGCAATGTTGGTGCAGTTTTGTCTAACAATTCCTTTCTTATAAATAAATTATTTTCAATTATTCAATGTAAAACAATGTGGATCAAAAAATAAACAAAAATAATAACATTAATATTTGGTTTTCTTTTTTAAGGAAAAGGTTGTTTCACTTTTTCTTCTTAAAAAAACTTTTTTAAGTTTTATTTCTCAGAATAGATTATGTAATTGTCGCCATGACTAGTTAGCCTACGATTTTCTACCATGCATAAATTCGTCATTGTTGAGACACCTTGTGCAACAAAAAACTGCGTGGCATTCGTTTTTTCGCACGCATGTGAAACCATTTACCCTTTTATGACACATTTTCCTTCCCTATTTCTGCGCACGTGAAGGGATCATATAGCATATAACTTAAACCAAGGAAAATTTTGAAATTAGATTAAACAAATTTAAATTCATGGTCAAATGAAGAAAAGCTCGCTGAAAACGTGCGGTGGCTATTCCAAAGATTTTTTTTACCATTTTGGAAATATTTTCTGGATTTGAAACTCTTGAAACACCAGTTTTTTCAACATCGCGAGGCACGGTTCGAATTTGCAAATGGCCTACGTGACTTGCGCGCTTTACTATTACAGAGGCTGACCCATGAAAGAGAACCATGCCAATTATCATAATGTCTGCGGTTGGGGCGACGTGAGAAAGATTTTCCGCCGGATTCAGAGACCAATCTTGACGAGGGCCACTTTACCTCTTTTCTTTTTGGCAATTTTTCCCTTCCGACCCTCCAACGAGGTGTTTCTTCAAGGGTAAAAAGTGCGTGTGCTACAAGTGTATGTACACAAGAGCCGCCGACAAGCCGGCCAGCGTGTCATTACTCGCGAACGGTGGGTAACTCAAGACTCTTTCTTTTTCTTTCTTTTGTTATGTACCGGGCGCACTTTTTGGGTGTTGAAAAAGAAAACGACCGGCGTGAATTTCAACTCGCGCATTGTGTTTCTCTCTTTTCCGTGGCAGCGACTCTGCTAATGTGATGTAAAACAAGCCTTTTCTTCATACTCAGCAGCAAGTACAAGTGCTCGTAAACTCTCTCTGCTTTATAAGAAGAAATTTTGGTTCAAAAACCCACTTATTCAAAGCAAAAAATTGTTTAATGAATGTTAATTCTATTTTAAGATATTTTCAATAATTTAAATAAATACAAGTCTTAAAACTTCATCGAGGATTCCAGAAATAACAAATATGAAATACGCTACCTGTGGCAAAAAACATGATAAGAACAAAAGCTCAATCAACTGAGGCTCAATGCGGCGGATGGGGTCTTTTTGATCTCGGAAGTTCTTGAAAAACTGTTGCTAGTAATGGTGCCGTTTTGTCCAACAATTCCTTTCATAAATAACAAACGATGTATTTGTAATAATGTGGACAAATAAGCAATAATATTAATTAAAAATGAACTTTCATCATTTTTTTTTCTTATTTACATTTATATTATTTTATTCCTGATGTTTGCTGTTGATGTTAGTCTAAACAATAATTAAAGCGGAAGTGTTGTTGCTCCATAAAATTTTCCAAACATTTCCCGTTCGCTTTTCCCCGCACTGATCCCGGTAGGGGAATAACAAAGCGGCGCTCGAGGCGCATACTGTTATGCATGAATTAAATAAAAAACATGGCATTCTCCGTCGGTTCGACCGTGAGTGTGTGTGTTGTGTCGTAGTTTTGAGAGCATGCGCGCGCCGCCGCCGCGCTTCAGACTAGCTCACCGATCCAAATTCCACTGAGCAGTTAGGTTGCTGCGGTTTGTTTTTGTTTTGGTTGGCGCGGCGTGGCTTGGACGGCCGAAAACCCGACTAAAATAATTTCTTTTCGAAATGCACAGAATGCGCCCGGTGCACCAAAACTTTTTCCTCGCTCACGGAAACAATGCAGTGGCGTTTCGGAATGGTCTCGATATTAGGTGCGAGAGACGAGTATCAAAGAAGAAGTGCCACATGCTCTATCAACAGATTCTAAATTTGGACAAAACGGATGCTCGCGATGAGGAGGAAATAAATTTATAAAAAAAATGTGATGCGCAGAAAATGCGGACAGACGGCTAATTTGAATGAAATTCTTTGTCAAAGAGCTTTAAATATTTGATGGAATTAAAACGTTGAAATATTTTAAGAACAATTTTAAATTTCAATTGAATAACTTATTAATGACTTTGTTATATATAATTAAAAAAATATATATATATTATTTTAATTTACTTCTTCTGTGATTCTGAAAAGTTGTAGAAAATATTTTCAAAAGACGTACCAAATTCAAAGATAAAAATATGTTTTCAAAACAAAACTGCGCCGAACCTGAAAATGTTATCATACGAAAAAGGTAAACAAACAAGCGTGTACTCACTTCCTTGATTCCTGGCGGGCGAGATGTCGGTGTTGGGGGTCAGGTGGGCGGCGGCGGGTTGCCCGAGCCCTGCTAACAGGGCGATCGTGGCGGCCGCGAGCACTAGGGGTGCCACCCGAGGGCGGCGGCCGGGGGGCCGGCCGGGCTCGTCGTCGTCGTCGGCCATGCGTCGGCCAGTCATGCCTTATGGGTGCCTAAAGGGCGCGCACATGGTCAACTCGGCATCGCAGTGGCCGCGAGCTCTCTATTACGCTGATCGTTGAATCGCAGCGAAGCACGTGAGTATCAAGAAGCACTTGTTCCGCACCGCTTTTCACTCTTTTTTCCCACTGGATTTGAGAGATTTGAGAGAATGAGTTTGGGCGAAACGGACACTCACGACAGGGCCTCCTCTCGACACCGCACAACAACTGAAACTGCCGCCGCTGCCGCCGTCGATCGCTGCCTCCGTCGGCGGGCTCCCCTCTCCGTTGTGTCGCGCTTCCCCTCCCGCCAGCGAGTTCACTCACACCACGAAAGGACGGGCAGCTATGGCGAGCACCTGGAATCGACAAGACGCAGAAGAAGCCAATTAGTGCGTGCGTGCATATAAACACAATTTAAAAAAATAATAATAAAACATAAAAAGTTTCTTAATCCAACACAAAAATTCTTCCCTTCCGGCGGCGCCCAGGGGTGGATGCTGCGCTGGAATAAATGCAGCCGTGGTATACGCGGCTGCTTTTTCAGCCCAAGCTAATGAGTAGACTTTGGGGATTTGCTTTGATGTGCTGATCACCGCCGAAACTGCTATTTGCATGGCGGGAGCAAAAATAATCAGAAAGGAAAAGGCAGCCAAAATCAATATGATCAAATGGAGCTTCCGAACATTGTTTTTTTTTTTCAAACAGAAAAGTTTGTTTTAAATTTTATTACTGAAGTTGCTGTCTGATAAAAATATTTCAAGCAAACAAGAGAACAAACAATTGTCATTTATAACTTTTTTTAAATAAAATCAAACCAGGCTTCACAAAAAAAGGGTATGAAATTATTTATATTATTCAAGCCCTGTTCAAGCCCAATGAATTTACGTGTCGGAAATATTAATCCCATTCATTTTATTTTATTTTTCTCCAAACAAGTCAAGACAATTAATTAACAAAAATGGTTGGGAGAAAAATAGGCACACCGTGCTTGTGAACAACTCAATGAAACTCACAACCGAGTATTTACCAAGAGAGGATTGCAATTTATTCAATAAATACAATAAAAAAATTATTGTAGTTATTAATAAAAAAGAAATATCAATGTTCAATGCAGTTTGACGTGTTATTATCTTCCTGATACAAAATAAAAAATTTTGTGGTAAAAAAATTTTCACCCTTTTTCTCCAGCTTTTTAATAACTTGACATTTTGGAGAACAAAACTTCCCTTCCAAGTGCTTCCAAGGGCCAAAAACACCCGCAATGGGAAACCAACTCAAATGTGAGACCTATAAAGTCTAGGAATGATTTCGTCCTCTCTTCCTTCAAACTTTCTCAAGCGGCATCTGATTTGCGTTTCATTAAAAGTTGGGTTTATTTTTAATTCACGGACGGACAAGCGGCCGTGCGCACGCGGGAGCAAATTTTCCTCCCGCCCCTTCTGCAATGGGAATTTCGATTCCAGCGCGGAGCTGAATGAAAATAAGGCTGAATGGAAATTGCGCAGCAGGAAAATGCCCCTTCGCCTTAGGCAGCGCCGGGCGACTCGAGTGCTCGGCGAAAAGCCTAACTTGGCCCATCGCAGATATGATCTGGATCATTTGAAAAAATATAGAAATCGAAGGCTCTGCTAATTTTGATTTTCCGCACGTGTAGTTTTGCAGGCGTGTGGATTGTTTCAAAATTTCCGTGTAAGAGGAGCGAGTGGGTGTTTTGATTCGCGACACGCTTTCGATCGATGAGTGATTCATTGCTAATTAATTTATTTCACAGCCGCCACTCTGCAGAGGCTCACGAGAATTTCAAACCGCCCGTGATGAAATTCGGAGTGTTTACCCTTTACTCTAAATGAACAGCATATCAATCGCGGAGAGAGTGAAGTAATTAATTGCCAGTTTTCATCGAGACTGATATGGGTTTTAAGCGTGCTTTGATCGATTTGAGTGTAGCAGTTCGCCACGCAAGTAAATCTTCTGCAATTTATGAAATTTAGAATTAATCAAAGTAAAGGAAATTTGAAATTATAGAACCAAAACCCAAAGCGAAATGACGAGAGGGACGCGAAAACATCAAAGTGAGCAAAAATTAATTAGGGAGAAAGGGAATTTTAATGGTTAAATAAATTACTTTTACCCCTTCAGATCACAAATTAAAACAGGGTTCTCATCAGGAAACATCATATCACAAAATTTTTAATTTTGAAAACCATTATGTTTATTATTCACTCAATTTAATGGAAAAAATTAATATGAATTTTCAAAGTTTACTTTATTTTTCTTCATAAGAAAATTATTTTAATTTAATACCCAGAAGGGTTTGATTATTTTGAATTATCAGTTTGAAATAAATGTATGCTCTTAAATCACTTTTGGTAAGGATTAAGAATAGAAATCTCCATTCTCCTTGAAAGGGTACTTCGCGTGATAAAAATATATTATCAGACGTTATCCCGGTTGAAGAGCCCCATTTCATTATCCACCAATAGGTGCGAAAATGATTTTTGCGAAGTACCCCTTGTCGCTCGCGATTGATCTTGCCCCGGCGAGCGCCCTTCTTGCCTGCGCTTAATTGAAATCCCGTGTCACTTTCGAGAAGGCGAGTGCAAGGAAAACAAAACGTCTCCAAGCGCGCGAGGGCGTGCTCGTGAAATTTTAATTTCAAATGAGACTGGCGGTGGCAGCGAAAGCTCCTTCTTTTTTACCCCCGCGGAGTTTAAAATTTCAGCACAAAAAGCATTGCTATATAAATGGTCGTAGCAGTTATATATTTCTACGCGGCCGCCCGAATTAAGAATTTAATACCCTGCTCACTTCTTGCTTCTGTACATAGTATGGCAAAATTTTTTTTGCCAAAAATTTTCATTACTTTCTTCATACGTACGCCGCTCGGACGTATAAAACTTTTCTCGTTTGCTTTTGGCTGAGAAGTCTCCCTGCTGGTTCCACGCAAAATTGCGCCGGGACTTGCTCTTAATCCCTAATTAAACGAGCGCGGCGCAAGTTTCGCCGGTGCTTCCCACAGCTTAATTGCTGTACGCTGAACAAACTCTTTAAAATCGGCGTTTCTAATAATTTCTAAGTCATAATTAGGATATTTTTTGGTTGAATTGAAAAATACTCTTATATTTAGAGCTATTATCGGTAATTTTTCTGCAAAATTTGTCAATTTTTTTATTAGAAAGATAAAAGATAAGTTGGAATAACATAAATTTTATGGGAATATTAATAAAAAAGTTGCATTGCCAAAATGAGGATATTATGAATTTTACCACCTGTAATTTTCTTCATATCTATTTGATTTTAATTTAGGAACTTTTCAAAACTTCTTTATATTATTTTCAAGGCATACTTATTTTGTTTCACCCTTTGTTTGTATTGTGTTCCCGTTTCTTGTAATAAAGATAGTCCCCTTATCATTAATTTTCTCCAGGCCAAAGTTGGCATTGGCCGTTCAACCCCAGGGAAAACTCCTCCGGACATAAATTAATTTTCCCTGAGCGTTATATACGCCGTGGCAGCAGCAAAGCCCTCGCGCCACTCCAAATCATCCATTCGGCTCACGTGCACGCCATTAACAAAGAGAAAAATTTTGTGCCGCCGAAAATAGAACACACTGCATCTTCAGCTCCTTAGAGAGAAATTTTTATTTCCCCAATACAAAGAAAGGTATGTATGGGCGCCGCTTTGTTTCTCACCTTGGTCGCGTAGAGAGTGGGGTCGGTGACCCCGAATGCACCCGCTCCCCTTGTGCAGGAGCATCCCTCGAGGCCTGAACAATGAGAAGGAAAGAGTTCCAAGAGCAGTAATTACACACACGGGGTGCTGTCAAATGACCGACCGACCGGTTCCTCTCTTTCTCTGTCTCGGTATATTTATAGCGCCGCGTTAGATTCACACAACAAACGAACATCGGGCACGGAACCAAAATGAGATGCAATCCTTATTATTATTTAAGCTTCGGGCGCTCCAAAATTTAATAGCGCGGAGAGTTGTGAGGGGTGAAGAAAGGGCCGACAGCTGATTACAAACAGCTTTGATGAAACAAAGTTCACTCAAATGAAAATGAAACTCATTATCAAACTTGACGCAGCTTAATTAATTATGCCGATCCCTTTATAAAATTATAATTTTACAATTTTGCTGACTTTTTTGACCAGACGGTGATTTAATGTGCTGAGAACGGTGGTAAGAATTTGGTTTGTTTTAATAATTTTCAAGTTTTGATGCAAATAATTAACAAACTTTGTGCCATGCCAACGTGTTTCCCAACAATTTTAACCCCCTAGCATTCAAGAATGTCATTTATTCTTTTCACAGCTCTCTTCTTCCCACCCAAGTATCAAGGAAGGAAGGAATTTTCCCAGAAATTTATTCGTGGAACAAGTTTAGCATATATTTGAAGACCAAAACGCGCGAAAACACGAGCAGCATGAGAAACAGGCCGTTTGCCATGAAAATGAGACTTGTATGTCAACTCGAATTTTCGAGATCTCGAAAAGGAAGCGAAATAAAACGAAATGTTGGAGATTTTTCATTTTCCCTCCCTTTGTCGGCTGAAACAGAAAGCCACGTGGCGTTTTCCGGGCGTGTTTTGTTATTGCAATATTATGCAGTACGCGAGGCTGCTTTTAAAAGCGTCCTTTCGATTTTACGAGCGCGGCCGCAGACGAAAAGGAAATTAAGCACCGAAGAGTATATCGTTTTTATTTCCACCGAGATATAATCTGATGGACGTTAATCAAATCACGTGGCGCGCCGAATATTGCAAGGTCTGTCATGTGTTTAGCTTTGATTCACAGGCCTCGGCAGTGAAAGGAAAAGGAATAATTTCGAGATAGTGGCTTTATCGGCTCGTAAAATTCAATAAAATGAAAAGCGAATCTCGCATGCGACAAATTATACGTCTTTCTTTCTCGCAACTCTATCAGATGCATTTGCGTTAATTCTCTGTCTGCCATGCAAATGAGCTCGTGAGGACAATCGACTTTTGCTGATGCGGACTTTCAAGGACCCGATTCGTGTCCACCACACTGGCACGCAAATGAATTTGCATTTAACTTCATATCGGCAGCATAGTTATATTGCATGGAAATGTTTTACACTAGTTCCTCCTCTCTAAACTATAACATTTTGATATTTTTTACCATTATTATATTGGAATCAATATTTTATTGCAGTATAGCGTGACAATAAAAAAATTACTCCCCATCTTAATTCACGCATTCATTGGGTCAAGCGAAGAAAATAAAATAATAAAATTTAGTTAATATATGATTGGAGTATTTACAAAAGAATGAAAAAATAAATAAATAAATAATCATCACATTCTTGCTCTGAGAAAAATCTGTGCAGCAACACA